AAAAAAATTAGGTAAGGCGGAAAAGGTGCGGTGAGCTGTGCGCCAGCGATTTCGACCGTCAACAGGGCACCCGCGACATGGGGTTGGCACGAAGCTGGCATGGCGCTGGCACAGGTACAGGTCTGAACGCTTGAGAAAACTTACGTGCTTAATTTCTAAATGAAGCACTTCTTTCATGTATGTAAGTTGATTATTCATGAGGTAGAAGAATGTCCAAGATCGACAGAAATTACAGACGATGATTGCCCACACAGGTAGCGAAAACATTATGGTTTTCCATGGTAGCGTAGTGAGCTAGAAACAGAAAATATGAAATTTTTGTCATTTTTCAAAAATAGCAAATTTACCGTCATGTTTCCCGTGGCAACTTTTCCAACTTTTTCCGTAATATAAGTTCGTTCTTCTTCGGTGATGTAATGATGTTCAGCTGGCGATTTCGCAGAAACCAAGCACCAGACAATAGACCACAGTACTCCAGCGATTCCTGGAAAATTAAAGATGCAGTTTATAATTTTTTTCAAAAAAAAATTAAGCTACTATTTACCGAATGCATAGAACGGTGTCGACCAGGAGAAGTAGATCAAAAAGCCGTTGAGAGGAAGCCCAATCATGACACCGACATAACTTCCACAAAATGTGGTTGTCGCTAGTTTTGAACGTTCCAAAGGTGGAGCCCAATAGCGCCAGACACCATGCATGGCAGGGTAGATGACGCCCTAAATGGGGAAATTTTTTGTACCATTTACTAAAAATACACTGGCGCCAAATTATGACTGACCAAAGCCAATCCTTGGATACCCATCATGACCATAACCGCCACATCGGTAAGAGGATGATATTGGAAAGCAAACGAGATGATCAGATTCAAAACACTGGCGATAAACACGCCAATGCAGAAGAGCCTGAAAATGTTGCATTATCTCATGAGGCCATGGAAATGCGTAAATAAAAAGGTATCCAATTTGACGCACTTATTGGGAGCAACCTTAGCGGCAATAATACCAGCTGGAACTTGTGAGATTGCATAACCGTAGAAAAACGAGCTCTCCAACCATCCTACTTCTGTCGGTGACCATAGGAATTCTGGTTCCTGAAATACAAGCTATTCTGTATAGAATTAAGAGAAGCATTTGTGACAATTTCTCGGTCATTATCAAATGAAAAAGGGAGACCTTTGAGAAACCTTTGGTATAAAAATTATAAAAATATTTGATTATGTCAATCTGTTATGGTAAAAATTTCAGGAAAGGCTGTGCAAGCAAATCTCGGTCAAGCTGTTACGGCTGCGTTCAAAGTTTCTGCTATCAGCGCCATGTTAGCGCCGTGCCACCTTATCGATCGATCGGGCGCTGGCACGACTTCGGCATACTGAATTTCCTAACCACTGCAAAAAAGCAGTCCTTTCACGCAGAGTATGGAATTCAGCTTGAGACTCTCGACTACTCTCCATTCGAATGTGATAACCAGCTTTAAAGGGTAAGGTACTGGACGAGAAACACTTGCCCAGAGACAGTCTCCAAATTCAAAGCCGACACTTTGAGTATTTCATGTAAGCTTTTTATTAAACCGACTAAGCTTCAACTTCTTTATTTTTTGTGTACTTAGTTCTTCTTACAATAAAATGATCGTTCTTTCGTAG